CATTTTTGTAACTTCCAGACATAACTTGTGTGTTAGTGTATGGATCTCTCTGACATTGTACCACAAGGTTCCATATCACAAAGGGAATGCTGGGATTGATTTTGGGGGTAATTGCATCAAAATTTTAGGAATTAGGGGCCAAAAAAGGGGCAAAAAACAAGCATTTTTCTAGTTTCAAAGTTCATGACAATAACTTGTGTGTAAGTGTATGGATCTTTCTGAAATTGTACTACAAGGTTCCATATCACAAAGGGAAAGCTGGAATTGAGTTGGGGGGTAATTGCGGTAAACGTTTAGGAATAAGGGGTAAAAAAAGGGGCAAAAAACAAGCATTTTTCTAAATTCGAGACAATAACTTGTGTTCGAGTGTATGGATCTCTGACATTATACTGCGAGGTACCATATCACAAAGGGAATGCTGGGATTGATTTTGGGGGTAATTGCCTCAAAATGTTAGGAATTAGGGGCCAAAAAAGGGGCAAAAAACAAGCATTTTTCTAGTTTCATGACAATAACTTGTGTGAAAGTGTATGGATCTTTTTTGAAATTGTACTACAAGGTTCCATATCACAAATGGAAAGCTGGAATTGAGTTTGGGGGTAATTGCCCAAAAAGTTTAGGAATTAGGGGCCAAAAATAAGCATTTTTCTAGTTTCCAGACAATAACTTGTTTTCAAGTGTATGGATCACTCTGAATTTGTACTGCAAGGTACCATACCACAAAGGGAAGGCTGGGATTGATTTTGGGGGTAATTGCCTCAAAATTTTAGGAATTAGGGGAAAAAAACAAGCATTTTTCTTGTTTCAGGACAATAACTTGTGTGTAAGTGTATGGATCTTTATGAAATTGTACTACAAGGTTCCATATCACAAAGGGAAAGATGGGTTTGAGTTTGGGGGTAATTGCCCTAAATGTTTAGGAATTTGGGGCCAAAAAACAAGCATTTTTCTAGTTTCCAGACAATAACTTGTGTTCAAGTGTATGGATCTCTCTGAAATTGTACTGAAAGGTACCATACCACAAAGGGAAGACTGGGATTGAGTTTGGGGGTGATGAATCATAAGGGGGTTCAAAAAATTAGGGGGGGGGTTTCCTTTTTTTTATGCCCCCGCCGTAGCGGTGGGGGCATTAAGTTTTACCCTTGTCCGTCTGTACGTACGAACGTACATACGTACGTACGTACGTCCGTCCGTACGTCCCAAAATTGGTTTCCGTTCTCTAACTTGAGTTTGCCTCAACCAAATGTTATGAAACTTATACATAATGCTTATTACCACAAAACACAGATCAAGTTTGAATTTTGGTGGCGTGACTGTAACCGTTCTAGAGTTATGCCCCTTTAAAAATGGAATAATTGCAAAATTTTTAGTTTCCGTTCTCTAACTTAAGTTTGCCTCAACCAAATGTTATGAAACTTATACACAGTGCTAATTACCACAAAACACAGATCAAGTTTGAATTTTGGTGGCGTCATTTTAACCGTTCTAGAGTTATGCCCCTTTATAAATGGAAAAATTGCAAAATTTTTAGTTTCCGTTCTCTAACTTAAGTTTGCCTCAACCAAATGTTATGAAACTTATACACAATGCTTATTACCACAAAACACAGATCAAGTTTGAATTTTGGTGGCGTGATTGTAACCGTTCTAGAGTTATGCCCCTTTATAAATGGAATAATTGGAAAATTTTTAGCTTCCGTTCTCTAACTTAAGTTTGCCTCAACCAAATGTTATGAAACTTATACACAGTGCTTATTACCACAAAACACAGATCAAGTTTGAATTTTGGTGGAGTCACTTTAACCGTTCTAGAGTTATGCCCCTTTATAAATGGAAAAATTGCAAAATTTTTAGTTTCCGTTCTCTAACTTAAGTTTGCCTCAACCAAATGTTATGAAACTTATACACAATGCTTATTACCACAAAACACAGATCAAGTTTGAATTTTGGTGGCGTCACTGTAACCGTTCTAGAGTTATGCCCCTTTATAAATGGAATAATTGGAAAATTTTTAGTTTCCGTTCTCTAACTTAAGTTTGCCTCAACCAAATGTTATGAAACTTTAACACAGTGCTTATTACCACAAAACACAGATCAAGTCTGAATTTTGGTGGCGTCACTTTAACTGTTCTAGAGTTATGCCCCTTTATAAATGTAAAAATTGCAAAATTTTTAGTTTCCGTTCTCTAACTCAAGTTTGCCTCAACCAAATGTTATGAAACTTATACACAATGCTTATTACCACAAAACAATATCAAGTAATTTATATTAAAATTGGAGTTATCTTCCTTTGTCCATGATTATAGTTGAATCAACTACAATCAATGCTTTATACAATGCAATGTTTAATTTTGACTTCCACTGATAAAACACAGATCAAGTTGAATTTGGGTAGTGTCACTCTAACCATTATTGAGGTATGCCCTTTATAAATCGAAAGATTGCAAAATTTTTAGTTTCCATTCTGTTACTTTAGTTTGCCCTAACCAAACATTATGCAAGCGGGGGCATCATCTGTGTCCACATGTGGACACTATCCACATTTATTTTCTTTAAAATTTTCCATTTTAAATTGGTTATTTCTGATTTATATATAAAAGCAAATAATAATGATATGGTTTGAATAGGTAAATTAAAAAAATTTAAGTTCTTAGACCACATTTATTCTGTGTCAGAAACCTATGCTGTGTCAAATATTTAATCACAATCCAAATTCAATGCTGTATCAAGCTTGAATGTTGTGTCCATACTTGCCCCAACTGTTCATGGTTCGACCTCTGAGGTCGTATCAAGCTGCGCCCAGCGGAACATTTTATTACACATTGTGACTTGGATGGATAGTTGTCTCATTGGCACTCATACCACATCTTCCTATTTATATTTGAGAATTATTTCCAATTTGCACATTATGTTTGGAAATGCAAAAGGAAAAAAATATATAAATGAATTACAGAATTTTTGATGTTTTTATGCCTCTTTCATGAAATATAGAAAATGGCTTACTTTATGGAGTTTTCGATCCATATTTCCTTTGTGGAAGCATCATGCCCAGCCAAGTAACAACAAAGTCATCTTAGAGAAGTTTTAATCTAGCTACTTGCATAAACTTTTTCCAATCCAAAATAAAACAAGGGAAATCAAGGAATTTAACAAAACATGCAAATATGTTAATGTTTTGTTTCCATGGTAACTCTTTAAATATGAAACTTGTTTTTATATTTTAAACACATTGTGACTTAACTAAGATGAAACACATGTAAAGACTTGTACTGCGACTTTTTAATTTTGTCTCGCCTTTCGTCGCAGTATGCGAGACATAGGTATTACCATCCAGCGGCGGCGGTGTAAACTATTTGTATAAAGCTTTATATTTCAGAAGGTAGAAGACCTGGATGCTTTATACCTTAAGCTTGTATGCAGATACCTTATGTTACGAAGTTTCCGTCTGTCATATGCCCAATGTCTTGACCTCATTTTCATGGTTCAGTGACAGCTTGAAAAAAAATTACTTTGTCATGTGAATTTCTCACTTATTATGAGTAATAGGATAACTATATTTGGTATATGGGTTCCTTGCAATGTCTACATGTCCGTCAGACAGGGTTAACCTGACCTTGACCTCAATTCATGGATCAGTGATCAAGGTTAAAGTTACATGATTAGGTCCGTTACTCAGATATTACAAGCAGCAGGCCAACTATATGTGGTGTATGGAATGATTGTAAGGGATACATGTCAGACTGGCAGGTTTCATCTGACCTTGACCTCATTTTCATGGTTCATTGGTCATTGTTAAATTTTTGTGTTTTGGTCTGTTTTTCAAGTACTGTAAGCAATAGGTGAACTATATTTGGTCTATGGAATGATTGTAAGGTGTACATGTCTGTCTAGCTGGTGTCATGTGATCTTGACCTCATTTTAATGGTTCATTGGTCGATGTAAAATTTTTGTGTTTTGGTCTGTTTTTCAAGTACTGTAAGCAATAGGTCAACTATATTTAGTCTATGGAATGATTGTAAGGTGAACATGTCTGTCTAGCTGGTGTCATCTGACCTTGACCTCATTTTAATGGTTCATTGGTCGATGTTAAGTTTTTGTGTTTTAGTCTGTTTTTCAAGGACTATAAGCAATAGGTCAACTATATTTGATTTATGGAATGATTGTAAGGTGTATGTTTTTCAAGGACTATAAACAATAGGTCAACTATATTTGATTTATGGAATGATTGTAAGGTGTACGTCTGTCTAGCCTGTGTCATCTGACTATGACCTCATTTTCAAGGTTCATTTAATGTTAACTTTTTGTGTTTTGGTCTGTTTTTCAAATACTAATAGCAATAGGTCAACTATAATTGGTGAATGGAATGATTGTAAGGTGTACATGTCTGTCTAGCCAGTATCATCTGACCTTGACCTCATTTCCATGGTTCATTGGTTAACATTTAGTTTATGTGTTTTGGTCTATTTTTCAATTTCCATAAGCAATGGGTCAGCTTTATTTGGTTTATGGAATAATTGTTAGGTGTACATGTCTGTGTGACAGTTTTTATCTGACCTTGACCTCATTGTCTTGGATCTTTAAAAATGTTAAGTTTATGTGATTCTTGTAGTAAAACCTTTATCTTTAAGACTTTCAACATGAAATCAAAGGTCAGTAAAACAGGCGAGACATTTCAGCGTGTGCACTCTTGTTATATTAATTTTAAACACATTATGACTTAATCAACATGGAACGCATGTAAAGACTTGTACTGCGACTTTTTAATTAGTACTAACATTTGGGCAAAATAAGAGCCTGATGGCCCTACTCCCTTGCCACGCTGATATTTAAAAAAGTAGGAAGAAAAATAGTGCAAATGATTGTTACGTACATGTTCACAGATTAATCAAATAATGCATATGGATATTTACATAAAAACTGATATATTTATCTAAATTTTGATATTTTGAAAAAAAGACAAAATAAATGTAAATGTGTAATGACAAACTTACTAATTTTCAGTCCAGAGAAGAGGATTGGAATAGAGATGGTAAAGCTGATGGATTAGATTTCCATTTGGAAATGCCACTACAGGACAAAGAAAAAGTCACCGGAGTTAAACTGATCCTTATTTTCCAATACAAGTTATTTGTAAGTTCCCAGAATATTGTGAAAATATTTTAATTCTTCAAATGGCACTGAAGAAAAAACTAGTTGAATGTGCTTATTAGCAACTATCTATACTGTACAGCTGATGCCTTTTAAAGCAATATTTAGGCTTCTGAAAATAATCAAAACAGTATTTTTTACTATGGGGCTATTTTTAATACTAGTAATATGATTTAAAAGCTTGAATGGCTCAGACGGCCATTTTGAGCTATTTGCCATCTCATGTTATCTATCAGGACTGCCTTTTGGTGTTCAGGGCAGACTTTTAAAAAATTTCCACTTGGCAAATTACATTTTGTAGGATTCTACTTGGTCGACATCATCTTTATGATGGTTACTTTTAATGATCTGATACCTGAAATAATGACCAAAATGGCAGCTTATTCTAAAAGTTTAACATACTTGTTGTAGCACTTGGTAAAATCAACAAAAATTAGAAAAAAAATCCTTTAGAGAACCAATTTGTATCAAGCTTTGAAGAAATGGTAAATTTACAATCTTTGTTTGACAAAAAGGTTTTATAAGTTAAATCTGTTTTTTGTTGTTGACTTTCTGTTAACCTAATTATGAACATTGGACTTTCATAAAAGAGATAGTATTGTGCTTCTTTTTAGTTTTACTTTATTATATTATTAGAATATTTTATAATTATTCAATGAGAAACTATAAAAAAGATCATTAAATTTTTTTTTTTTTAATGTTTCAGAGGTATTCCACTTTTACCATGGAATGCATGGCATATATGTATCATGATTCTGCCAAAGCCGGATCTAAATATGAAGTTTTTGGAGATCTAAAAATGAGTCAGAGAACACCATTAGCTCACAGAGGAACTGATACCAGATTCAATGTAGGTTTTATGTGAAATATCCATTTTATATTAGATTTAAAATATGTAAATGTAAAGACTTTACCTTACTCTTTCACTTACAAGGCTTTTCTAAAAACCAGAAGAGTTCATCTTTATTTTCCAAGAATGGCTTGTCATATTTAATTTGTCCCCATAGCTTATTACTTAAGGTTATTTCTGAACATTTCAAACATAAATCGAATTAAAGATTTAGTTGTGCAACAGTCAAAAATAAAGAATTGAGAATAGAACACAAAATGAAGGTGGTAGATTGAAATGCTGTTGACTGTGAACTGGAAAGAGTTGATCAGCAAAAGCCCACATTGGAAATATGACTTAGGTGGCTTTTAAAATATAACCACTTGTTATTGGAGATCACTCAGGGCTCACGCTAAGAGGCTACTGGGGCGATAAAGTCACTTTCACGTCCGTCACTTCGCTTTGCCTGACCGTCAAAAGCGAAATCTAGTCGCCCTGTTGTTCATCATACTCGCTTTCAGTTGCTTTCGTCATTTCAATTTTTACCAAGTCGAGGAAACATCAATTTTTCATTTAAAGGTAAAAAAATTAAAAGACTTAAACGATTTATTTTCTTCAGAAAAGAAGTTAAAGCATTGAATTTACAGTTTGTTGCGTGTTATTTCATAAAGACAATTTTAATCACGTCCGGTACTTGTTACTCGAGAGCGTACATCAAATCATTCTAATTTTCGGCAAAATAAGTTTGTTACTTCATTAGAACGTGATGAAAGTTGCCTTCAGTAAATGTATAATCCATTTATTGCATTAAAAACGTCATATTCCTTTCCAAATATCGGTTATTTTTGTAAATATTGTTCGTCTGCCATTGAAATATTTGTACGAACTACGGATCGGAGGCGGGATTCATCGGAAACGGACCAGCTATGACCAAAATCTGTATTCTTACGATAATAACTACGGACGCACGAATGGCACAACGGACAGAAGATTTACGCATTCCACACACATTAACAGACTTTTGGTTAGATCTGCTTGATTAATGTATATATTTCCGTGTATATGCATTGTTGAAATTTATTGATTAAAGTTGCTTTACTCTGGGACTATTACACTAATAAAAATATACTATGTCCCAGCTTAACTTTGTTAAATTAATATATCTTTTAAATGAGAAACACTGAATTTCATAAACATGATAAACAGAATAGTTTTTTAATTGAATTGTAATTCATATATTATACTTTCTTTTCCTTTTTTGATATAAAAAAAAATCTTTTTAGTGCTAGATATTTAGTAGGTAGTTTCTGACAAGAGGACTAATATAATTGTGCAATTAGATGTGATAAACTTAAACAACTTTGAATTTGAACTGGTACTTTATTGTATACTCAGATCTATATGAATTGAACAATATAAAAAGAAAATAAGATACATATATATGGCCCTTTATAAAACATTGTAGCGCCGCGAGCGAACGAGCACTTCTCTTTCAAATCTCACCACATCTCCCTATCAGTTTCAAAAAGAGAAGTCACTTCTCCCTATGATTCTGAAGTAGTGTGAGCCCTCATCACATTTTGCCCTGTTGAAGAATGTGAAAACACTACATTCAAACTTAAAATACTTAAAAGCAGCAAATATCTGAATCTTTGGTAGTGGATCTCCTTTGTCATTCCATTCTTCTATACTGGAAGCTGAGTTTTTTCATAAACCACACAAACCTATGGGAACCAGAAGTCAGTTTCACAAAAAAACTTACAACTAAGATTGATCATAAGTCTTGAACAATTCAGTATACTAATGATCAATCTTGGTTGTAAGTTTTTTTGTGAAACCGACTCCAGAACATGAATATCAACTGTCATAAGTGTTACAGCTACAGAAGTGTAATAAACGAACTTTCATTTATAGTGTGGTACCACCATCAGTGTGACAAATGAATTGTCATTAGCTTGACACTGCCAGCAGTGTAACAAAGAAATGACGCAAGCTTTTTGATAAAAAAAACTTTTTTCAGATAAATACCTTTGTAAGTCTTAGATACATGTATTAACTGTCCCTTTATAAAGTTATATGGCCTGTAATTAGTTTAATTTTCGTACTGGTAGATTTAGAAAAAAAACTTTGAGGTATTTTTAATACAGCTGTAGGTGAATACATTTTAATAACTGTTAGATGAAGTGTAAATTTGATTTTGTTAAAAGAAAATTTTTAAACTTTTGAAAAAAAATTGAAATTTAACGAAATTTTATTACAAAAAAATGTAGCAATGTGATATGCGTGCCATATGAAATTTAAAATTGACTTTTTTTTTTTTTTCAGACTCCAGTTGTTAATTCTACAAGTGTTTATGCTAAAGATTATGAATTTTCAAAAATATTTAAAGAATACACAGCAAGGAATGGTAAATATTAGCATTTGTCAAAAAGGAATTTGTTATATTTTATTAAATATTAAGCACAAAAGTGCCTTATTTTAATAATTTCAGAATATAAAACAGTTGATTTTTTATACAACTGCAAAATTTTTGCGGTCGTATATTGGTATGACATTGGTGTCAGCAGCGTCGTCTTCGTCCAAAGACACATTGGTTTTCGCACAATAACTTTAGTTTAAGTGAATGGATCTCTATGAAATTTTACCATACGGTTCAATACCACAAAAGGAAGGTTGGGACTGTTTTTTGGGGTTATGGTACCAACAGTTAAGGAATTAAGGGCCAAAAAGGGGCCAAAAATAAGCATTTTTGTAACTTCCAGACAATAACTTGTGTTTAAAGGAGACATGACACGATTTTCAATTTGTGTTTCAAAATGTTTATTTATACTTAACTTTCCCCAAAAATACATCGATAGCAATATAAGTGTCAAATATTTGTTAAAATATGTATTTTAATGAGGTTTTAATGCAACGATTTATCGACCTGTCAAATATGCATATTTCCATCCCGGAAGTCACTCAGAACGAGGCTACTACGTCAGTGGTTCCTTTCATTCATATTAACATATGGGTACAGTGCAAATTTAGTTTCGATTATTATCCAACAAAACGCATGACAGTGATAAAAAATGAGTATGTGTGGTGCCGAATTATTCAACAATATAATTAAAAAAATATTTTCTGTTTTTCGAATGACACGCGGACTTAGGTGTAAAGATAGGATTTTTTAACAAGCCCAAACTACACTTCTTTCCGCCCACTTTCATAAGGAATCCAGAGTTGGGGTCTCGGGTGCCATGCCATGAGTTCATCATAGGCCACAGGTGAAAGGTACAGGTGATTGAGTTTCGCAATTTCAGGTCTCGTTTGAAGTTGCAAGCTTCAGGTGTCACGCCACGTGGGGGATTGATAAGATATAGTTATTACGCAATATTACTTCATAAGCTCTTTGTGTACATCCTGGCACATTCACAATGTGTCGGTGGAGGGGGGGGGGGATATATGTTTGTATACCCCCCCCCCTCCAAACGTGTGATAGCGGACTTACAGCAGTACATAAGAACTATAAAAACCAGTCTAACTCAAAAGATTGGTACGAAGTACAGAAACCACTAACGTAAAAACAATAGAGATAACGCACAAATAATGTAAGCTAGATCAAAGCCAAATACAAATAATACATAATTCATGTATTCTAAGACTGAAGTATGTAACATGTAAACATTTTCATGCTCAGTACGATTGAAAATTTAACATCTATTCAAATGACCCCTTTTTGAAGAAATATTAAGTTGTGAATATTTTCCTGGACTCAAGCATTTTGCTGGTAGCAATAAACAAATTGATTGCTAAAAGATGTTTGGAAGAGAAGGGTGGAAATGTGTGAACTTGAATTTACTTTGTGTAATTCCTTAAATTTGAAGTTAGATTTATAAGGGTTTGGATGGAATTGCATACTTTAGAAGTGTAATATAACTATATTAATTATTTCAACATAAGACTACAGTATTTCAAGGTAAATAACATAACACACGACTAAACCACACTACAGGTGCCTTCTTACCTTTCACCTGGTCAAGTATGCTATAGGTGTCAAAATTTAAATACTAATACAACAGCCTCCAATAAATGTTTTGTATTGTTTAATTTTATACATAAGGTGAGATGTAAATAAAATATTGAATTGAGTTGTTTACATAAAAAGGGGGAAAGTAATAAAATTGTTAATTGAATATCCTAATGCAGAAAAAGTGTGATAAAGGAATTGTCACTATACAAATCCTTGGCATGATGTATGGTTTCCAACCAAAAAAAATATATGCATAACTTTTGGTGATAGTTTATACCTATTAAAAGTATCACCGTAACCAAAACAAAACAAAAAACGTACCCTTTGCGAACGCATAATTTTACTTTAACTTTCGTTTTTTTTTTCTTTTCTTTCTGCTTCGGGCGCACACATAATTATAACATTACCGTAACAGAGAGAAAAAAGAACAATTTGATCATCAATAATAAAATTTATATTTTGAATCATGATTAAAAGTAGTTTTATTTGAATAAATAAAAAATGAGGAAAGCGGTTTATTAAGGGTGCATTTCTTTCTAACCTAAATTTTGTAAACGTTGTGTGGAGTTTGTTATCGTTTGCTGAACGCTAAAAAAGTAGAAACAAATACATCGTTTAATACGTGTTTACTGACCCTGTTTGAACTTTCAATAATGCATGCAAATGTTGTTGGTAAATACTAAACAGACTTATTTTGGTCATAATTAAATGCGGTTCCTTCAACCAACATACCTAATAAATCTCAAGTTAGAAACAAATGTAGCGTTTGCACAAACATTAGATGAACGACAAACTGTAGACACATTTTAGCGAGTGCATAGTTTGTCAAAGTTTATGTAAATTTTGCAAGCGTATGTTAGAAACAAATGATCAAAACATATGCGCGCTTAGCCTTTGCATCATTTTTGTTAGAAAGAAATGCACTCTAAATTTATTCATCAGACAAACCTATATGACGAAGTCGATACACTATGGACGGTATTGAAAGCACTTTTCACGATTACTGACAAACTACAAAGACAATTGACCTCATCAATTTGAGCCATTGTGTGTGAAAAATAACCAAGAAAAATATATTAATTCTTCATGCGAAAAGTCCAACAACGACGATCTTTCAGACAATACCGATCGGATTGTTACCACAGTAAGATTCATTTTCCCAGCTTGTAACCACTGACGTAAGCACGATCACGTGATCGTTATCTAATTAAAAAATCATTCATTAAGACAAGCGCTGGATTCTTTGACCTAAAAAATGCCGATTGATCAGGTTTTGACTAGCAAAATTGTAAAAAATATGTTTTAAGACTAATATTAATCAATTTAATAAAAAAAAAAAAAAAAAATTTAAATCGTGTCACGTCTCCTTTAAGTGTATGGATCTCTCTGAAATTAAACCACAAGTTTCCATGCCACAAAGGGATGGTTAGGATTGGCTCTGGGGGGTTATGGCTCAAACTGCTTAGGAATTAGGGGCAAAAAAGGGGAAAAAACAAGGGTTTCCTCGTTAATGGACAATTTAAAAGCAGTGTAAGGGAGGTAAGGTAGCAATACACAGTTAGGGGTTTGGTTTCGCATTTTGGCCCCGGTGGATTTTTCAAATATGAAAGTTATTGTGTAATAAAATTAATTTTTAGACAGCTGAGTACTAATTTAGCCTTCAAAGGTGGTTTATAAGAACATCAAGATTATTTTTTACATGTTTTATGGGCTATTTTCTGTTTGACTCTCCGTATTTTCATAGCTAGACCGGTCATTGGTCCAGAAATTAATGTAATGTTTACAAACACTTTTTTTCTACACGAAGTTTTTGACGCAATTTTACAAAAAAAATGAGATGAAAGACATATGATTTTCATTGGATTTATTGAAAGATATATGTAAACAGTTTCAGAAAAGGTATTACTTGAAGTGATTGAAATTCTACTTTTGGTCAAATTTTGGGGAAATATGTGACATCTTTTCCCCCCTTTTTGCTATATTTTATAACAAAAAAATGCAGATTGTTGCCATGGATACACCAAGAAGAAATTATATTTTACCATTTCATATACTGGATATGAAATCTATGGAAGATTCTGATTACATACATATGCACATATATGACACAAACAGTAAGCTTAATATTGCAAGAAGGCAATGAAAAGGGGATGGTAAAATTTATGAGGGAACATTTTAATATTTTTTCCTAACTGTTTATTGCTACCTTATGGCATACTTACCAAGCTCAGAATTGTACAATTTAAGACTTTTCATACCACAAATCTATTGATATTTAGATTCTAAATCAACTTCTGATGGGATTAAGTGTTTAAGAATGACAATACATGTCAATTTTATTGTTTACAGTCCTTAGCAACCAAAATTAGACATTTTGACACAAGGCTTATAATTGTACTCTATTTGCTTAACCCTTGCTTCTGAAGGATTGCGCAGTATGTAGTAGCCTAAGTATTGAATGTTTTGTATTTTTTCTTGCGAATATATCAAATTATTATTTTTATCAAGATTTCATGTTACATTTTGACATATATTAAATGTATAGTTGATTCAACTGTAAGAAATTGATTCCCCATTACCAAGTGTTTTACTCAAGTCTTTGGTATACATTAAACATAAAGATTAACATTTTCATGCTTGAAATTGTTAAATTTTGTACAATTTTGCATCATCAGAGGTTTTATAAAGATTTTCAACATTAAAAAACTGACAAAAGAGGTATAGTTTTTAAGATTTTGCCAAAAATTGAGGTAGAAACAAGATTTTACACTTTGACTTGGCACCTTTCTTTAAATCAGTTTTTGTCGAGTTTCAGTGTCAACTGCTAACCTTCATAAAATATTCATTACTCAACCAATTTTCAAAAATAAAAGGCCATTTTACTCGTTTTAGCTAGCAGAACACAGAAAATTAGTTAAAGGGGAGAATTTGAAAAAAATATTTACTATTAAAATAGCAATACACAGTTAGGGGTTTGGTTTCGCATTTTGGCCCCGGTGGATTTTTCAAATATGAAAGTTATTGTGTAATAAAATTAATTTTTAGACAGCTGAGTACTAATTTAGCCTTCAAAGGTGGTTTATAAGAACATCAAGATTATTTTTTACATGTTTTATGGGCTATTTTCTGTTTGACTCTCCGTATTTTCATAGCTACACCGGTCATCGGTCCAGAAATTAATGTAATGTTTACAAACACTTTTTTTCTACACGAAGTTTTTGACGCAATTTAACAAAAAAATGAGATGAAAGACATATGATTTTCATTGGATTTATTGAAAGATATATGTAAACAGTTTCAGAAAAGGTATTACTTGAAGTGATTGAAATTCTACTTTTGGTCAAATTTTGGGGAAATATGTGACATCTTTTCCCCCCTTTTTGCTATATTTTATAACAAAAAAATGCAGATTGTTGCCATGGATACACCAAGGAGAAATTATATTTTACCATTTCATATACTGGATATGAAATCTATGGAAGATTCTGATTACATACATATGCACATATATGACACAAACAGTAAGCTTAATATTGCAAGAAGGCAATGAAAAGGGGATGGTAAAATTTATGAGGGAACATTTTAATATTTTTTCCTAACTGTTTATTGCTACCTAATCCAAAAACAAAATTGTACAATGTTGTACAATGTTGGATTACCTCCCTTACACTGCTTTTAAATATCTATTTAACCCTTTCAACGCTATACACGGCATATGCCGCGATGACGTACGCCGTCCGCCACTGCTATTCACGGCATATGCATATTCCAGACTCTTAAACCATTCGGTTTTCATTCGGGTCGTCTCTAATTTTTCCTCATATGAATTGAGGATATACAAGGTCCCGTTTGCGCTTGAAATCCCGGGAATTTTTATGGTAAAATCATGCAGTAGAAGGAAAATAGAAGGAAAATAAATGCAAATGGCGGAAATCGGAAAAGACGCTGTAAATATGGAAATATTTCAGCATTTCTATGGCGAAACTGACAAACGGATTAGTTAAAAGGTTTTCCGTTATCTCAATGTGTTTATTACATTCAATTTGTGTGGGAAATATGATTTGATCGATCTTTAAGAGATGTAGAAAAAGGGGGAAACGGAGGTTGACTGAAAATTTTGAGGACGGAGCCACTTATTTGCGCCACGATTACATTATACGTTGTGTATGGTGCAATACGCTACGGAATCTAGCAACTGGTTTCTTCTTTATTATATGGCAGGGGGGGGTCAATACGCAACAGCATAGTGTATTTCACAAAAGCAAAAAATTGAATATAAGTTCAAATCATATCACCAATTCTAAGTTGTTTGACTACAGTTATTCGGTGTCAGAAACCTATTATGTGTCAAATATTTAATTACAATCCAAATTCAGATCTGTATCAAGCGCGAATATTGTGTCCATTTTCACCCCAACTGTTCAGGGTTGGACCTCTGCGGTCGTATCCAGCTGCACTCAGCGAAGCATTTTATTTTATGCAGAACAAAACAATCATTGTTTATAATCAACAGTAATGATCAATTTTTATCATTTCCTACCTACAAAATTAGAAATTCTCAGGTTTTTAGCTAACCTGGTCTCAAGGGCCTAGTGAGCTTTTCTCATCACTTGGTGTCCGTCGTCATTGTCTGTTATCTTTAACAAAAATCTTCTCCTCTGAAACTACTTTGCCAAATTTAACCAAACTTGACCACAATCATCATTGGGATATCTAGTTTAAAAATGTGTCCATTGACCCTGCTTGCCAACCAACTTTGCCGACATGGATAAAAATAGAAGATAGGTGTAAAATGCAAGTTTTGTCTATTATTGTGAAAACCTTTATAAATAGAGAAAATCTGACAGAAGCAGAAGTGTTCAAAATGTTGAGCTCTACCAATTGTTGCTATATGTCAAAACTGTCAGACGACTTCTTATAGGGGTTATTGCCCTTAAATGACCAATTTTACCATTTTTTAAAAATTTTGTACGCCCGTTTACGGGACGTATTATGGTATACAGTTGTCCGTCTGTCCGTCCGTCGTCAACATGTCGGACATTAACTCAAAAACGCTTTAAATAATATGCATGAAACTTTGGTGAATTGTTTATATCTATTGATGCGAGCTCTCTTTTATTTTTTATAAATTTCAGATTTACCGTTTCTGAGTTTTGGGGTTTTATTCATTAAAAAAGGGGGGATTTTCCAGTTTTCCGACAATAACTCAAGAATGCTTTCACCAACTTGCAAGAAATTTTGGTGAATTGTTTATGTCTATTGACATGAGCTCCCTTTTGATTTTTATAAATTTTAGATTTTACGTTTATGAGTACCAGGGTTTTATTCATAAAAAAGGGTGATTTTCCAGTTTTCGGACAATAAATAAAAAATGCTTTCAGCAGTTCTCATGAAACTTTGGTGAATTGTTTATATCTGTTGATGAAAGCTCCCTTTAGAATTTTATAAATTTTAGATTTTACATTTCTGAGTTATGGGGTTTTATTCATTAAAAAAGGGGGGATTTTCCAGTTTTTGGACAATAACTCAAAAATGCTTTAAGCAGTTCGCATGAAACTTTGGTGAATTATTTATAGCTATTGATGTAATCTTCAAATATGACATTGAGAAGAAATTGAACTTTATTTGTTTATAGTCTGACAACAGATTTACTAAGTATTGCGCAACAGCACAGTGTATTGCACAACAGCAAGAAATCTTTAATTGAATATAATTTAATTCATATAACCAATTTCAAGTTCTTTGACTACATTTATTCAGAAACGTCAAATATTTAATTACAATCCAAATTCAGACCTGTATCAAGCTTGAATATTATGTCAATTTTTGCCCCAACTGTTCAGGGTTGGACCTCTGCAGGCGTATCCAGCTGCGCTCAGCGAAGCAGTTTATTGCCTATTATCTTGAAAACTATAATAGATAGAGAGGAACTTTAAACTGCAAAAATGATCAGCAAGACAAGTTCTACAAATACGTCAACATGGTCGAAATTGTCAGTCTACTCCTTGTTAGAGTTATTGCCTTTTGATGAAGATTTTTAGCAATTTTTTGCATTTTTGCCTTATATCTTAAAAATTATAATAGATAGTTAGAAATTCAAACAAGCGAAAATGATAAGCAATAAAAGATCAACAAAACAGGTTTTTGTACCAAATTCTATTCTAGTCTACAATTTTGGAGAGTGTCCTTTGCTGAATATGCACATAGACCAAGGTGAACCTTTAGAGCCGCTAGTTATTGGAGTTCTTGATTATTAATGAAAATTTTTACCAATTTTTTGCATTTTTGTCTATTTTATCTTGAAAACCGTAAAAGATAGATAGACACTTTAAAAACCAAAAATGATCAGCAAGACAAGATCTACAGTTAAAGTTTGCTTAAATCCTTGGTAGACTCTTAATGATTGCCCTTTAAAGGCAATTTGTTTACCCTTTTTTTTTGTTTTGGGCAAAAACTAAAGAAGTTAAAGAGAAACTGTAAATAGAAAAAAATATTCATCAATATAGGATCAACAAAAATGGGATTTTTGTCACGAATTCTTTTTTAAGTCTACTATGTTGGAGAGTGTCCATTGTTGATGATGCACATAGAGCTAGATGAGGAACACATGCTCATTAGAGCATCTGTTTGTTTTTCTTTTATTGAGCTATAATTTGCTATCCTTTGTCTCTTCCAAATTTTTGATTTTTTTTTCAGTAACAACATATCTGCAGGCTCCATACACATCCTGGATTACAGGACGAGGTGCTGGCCAACCATTTGTCATCAGTGCCAATATTACTTATCCAGAAGAGAGATATCTGTATCCTTTTATATTTTTACAAATTATTATATATTCTTTTCCCACTTACTAAAGTGGTGACACATTTATTCCTTTAGGGTCCTGCTGCTAGTGGGAAATAAGTGGAGACAGTGCACCTGCTTCTGGCTATTTACCCGTATCTTATTTTCAGTAGGTCACTTAGAGGGACATTAGCTACAAAGTTGACAAAAAATCTAAATATTGTTTCAAACATTTATAAAATTGTTATTGTGAAATAATATTTTGCTATTAGCAGTCAGTTTGGGTCCATTTTGTCAAAGTAAGCTCAAAAACATTGATGATGTATTGGCTTGCAAGTCAATAACTTTAACTCATTTGAATCCGTATTCATGGGAATTTCAATTTAATCCTTAACTGGGATGGGCTAAGTATGTTTAGTTATTAAAAAGAAAAGAATGTCAACATTAAAGATTGAAACCAGGCAGTCACTCGGAAGATCTTTTTAATCAACTGATTCTTGCCCACAAAAAATCATTCAAGTACAGATACAACAATGGTTTACATATTTTTTTGTGAACAGTGGAAAGCTGTTCTTATATTTATACAAAAGTTTTTAACACAAGGTAGAAGCTTCAATCATTTGCTAATTTTCCTATTATAATTGTTTGCACCATTTTTATTCTACAAGACAACTAGGTCATTAGGAACTTTGTTATCAAGGTAGTTCCAGCAAACTTTGCCATATGACTCTATTTACCCTTTCAATGCTATACACGGCATATGCCGCGATGACGTACACCGCCCGCCACTGCTGTTGGAGGCATATGTCGCGATGACGATGGATTTTTCATACAGACTCTTAACCATTCGGGTTCTCTCTAATTTTTCCTCGTATGAATCGAGGATATACAAGGTCCTGTTTGCGCTTGAAATCGCGGGAATTTTAATGGTAAAAGCATGCAGTAGAAGAAAAATTAAAAAAAATATTTTGACAAATGCAAATGGCGGAAATCGAAAAAGACGCTGTAAATATGGAAATATTTCAGCATTTCTATGGCGAAACTGACAACGAGGAATAGTTAAAAGGTTTCCTGTTATCTCAATGCGTTAATTACAATCAATTTGTGTGGGAAATATGATTTGATCGATCTTTAAGAGACGTAGAAAAAGGGGGAAACAGAGGTTGACTGAAAATTTTGAGGACAGAGCCACTTATTTGCACCACGTTTACATTATACGTTGTGTATGGTGCAAATACGCTACGGAATCTAGCAACTAGTGTCTTCTTTATTATATGGCAGATAAAACAACAAAGTAAATGAAGATTAAAAGTTGTTTTTATTCAAAATTCAACACAAATACAATAATTTACACCTTTTACCTGTTAATTACCTGAAAATGCAGGTAGCTTGATGAAAATTTTACTAAAATAATTGCATAACATTACAGTTCATGCTCTCCTGAGCATTTTTCATGCACTAAGTTTGTCTGTATCTCTTATAATAAAAAAGATACAGCAGTCTGAAAAGGAATATACTGTTCTAATGAATGAACACAAAAAAAATGCAGCAGCAGCAGCCATTTTTTTGTTTTTTTGTGTAACGTTGAAAGGGTTATTATCAAAATAAGGAGATGTGGTATAATTGCCACCAAAGTTCAAATGAAGTGGATGTAAGCAATTATAGCCAACCGTTCAACAATGAGAAAACCCCATACTGTATAGTCAGCATTATGTTTAGTTTCTAAAACGGAAAACAGCAACAAAATAAAATGAGCAATTTTTTTTATATAATCAGGCTTTAGAAAATTTGAATATCTCAATATCAGTAATCTCTGATCTATTGTAAAAGATTTGATACATGATATTCATTCATTTTTGCCAGAATATGTCTCAAACAATTTCTACTGGATGTGAATCACCTTAAGAAAGCAAAAATTAATTAATCCATTAATTGTATTTTTATACGACCGCAAAAAAATTTTGTGGTCGTATATTGGTATGACGTTGGCGTCGTCGTCGTCCGAAGACACATTGGTTTTCGCACTCTAACTTTAGTTTAAGTGAATGGATCTCTATGAAATTTTACCATAAGGTTCAATACCACAAAAGGAAGGTTGGGATTGATTTTTTGGGGTTATGGTACCAACAGTGAAGGAATTAGGGGCCAAAAAGGGGCCAAAAATAAGCATTTTTGTAACTTCCAGACATAACTTGTGTGTTAGTGTATGGATCTCTCTGACATTGTACCACAAGGTTCCATATTACAAAGGGAATGCTGGGATTGATTTTGGGGGTAATTGCCTCAAAATTTTAGGAATTAGGGGCAAAAAAGGGGCAAAAAACAAGCATTTTTCTAGTTTCAGGACAATAACTTGTGTGTAAGTGTATGGATCTTTCTGAAATTGTACTACAAGGTTCCATATCACAAAGGGAAGGCTGGGATTGATTTTGGGGGTAATTGCCTCGAAATTTTAGGAATTAGGGGCCAAAAAGGGGCAAAAAACAAGCATTTTTCTAGTTTCAGGACAATAACTTGTGTGTAAGTGTATGGATCTTTCTGAAATTGTACTACAAGGTTCCATATCACAAAGGGAAAGCTGGAATTGAGTTTGGGGGTAATTGCCCTAAACGTTTAGGAATAAGGGGCCAAAAATAAGCATTTTTTTAGTTTCCAGACAATAACTTGTTTTCAAGTGGATGGATCTCTCTGAAATTGTACTGCAAGGTACCATACCAAAAAGGGAAAGCTGGAATTGAGTTTGGGGATAATTGTCTCAAAATTTTAGGAATTAGGGGCCAAAAAGGGGCAAAAAACAATCATTTTTCTAGTTTCAGGACAATAACTTGTGTGTAAGTGTATGGATCTTTATGAAATTGTACTACAAGGTCCAAATCACAAAGGGAAAGCTGGGTTTGAGTTTGGGGGTAATTGCCCTAAATGTTTAGGAATTTGGGGCCAAAAGGGGTCCTAAAAACAAGCATTTTTCTAGTTTCCAGACAATAACTTGTGTTCAAGTGTATGGATCTCTCTGAAATTGTACTGCAAGGTACCATACCACAAAGGGAAGGCTGGGGTTGAGTTTGGAGGTGATGAATCATAAGGGGGTTCAAAAAATTTTGGGGAGGGATTTTTTTTTCCTTTTTTTCCTTTTTTTTCTTTAAAATTTTCCATTTTAAATTGGTTATTTCTGATTTATATATAAAAGCAAATAATAATGATATGGTTTGAATAGATAAATTAAAATTTTTTAAGTTCTTAGACCACATTCATTCTGTGTCAGAAACCTATGCTGTGTCAAATATTTAATCACAATCCAAATTCAGTGCTGTATCAAGCTTGAATGTTGTGTCCATACTTGCCCCAACTGTTCAGGGTTCGACCTCTGCGGTCGTATCAAGCTGCGCCCAGTGGAGCATTTTATTATAAACCTCAGTATTTGTGTGGTTTACTATTGTTGTTTGTATTGTGTTTTAGATAAATCATTTCCTTAACAACACAATAGGTACACAACAGGATTCTGGTATATGATAAAGTGGGGATGGATCCAGTATGTCTCAGTTCTACTCATATTCCTCTTCCTCTTTGATAGAGTCAAAGTGTTTATCTATCAAAACCAGCTTGTACAAACTATTGTTGAAACTCCTTTCCGTAAAGAGAAAATGCAGTGATGAATGTTTTGATTGGATTTAAAGACAATTTCAAGAATCTAAAACATTCAATCTGTTTACAATTTGTGCAACACCTTTCAGCTAGAAAATACAGAATTGAATGTTGTGCTTAGCTTTTACATCAATATCTAATGATGAGTGACTATTGAAATGAAAAAGTGAGGATACAGAATATATATTAAATATTTGGACTGTTGGAATGTAATAGAGGTTCATTCATTACAATGAATGCATTGGAAATTAGGGGTTGAAAAAACTGATGTCCCAGTATTACGGATTTTGAATGGGGCCTTTTGGAAATAAAGCCGAAAAGTCATATGTCAGCAAAAAATGTAGCTTTCAAGAAGCTACTTATCCTTGCAAAATTTTTTATTGACTTCTAACATTTTTCATAATGAATAAAAATAGACCTGAGTAAAACTCTTCCTCTAAATTTAATTTAAAAAATTAATAGATGGAAATTAAGATGCACAAACTGTAAATGGGAATATTCAATAAGCATGAATAATATAGGATGGGTTATGTATATGTTGGTCAGAAGATACAGACTGTTACAATTTCTATGATGTAGTCATTGTGTACATCTGGTTTTAATCATGAAATCACTGATAGAATCAAAATTATGAGATTTTAAGGAATATTGAAAATTAATAGTGATTTTTAAATGCAAAAGTGATATTTTTATGTTCCAGTTTATTAGTGTCTGAATGATAATTGGTGTTTGCTGAAACTTTCCTTATGCATAGGCTGGAGTACCATTGATGATATAGGTAATTTTCAATTTAAACATCAACTACTGTTTGGGAATTATGCTTATGAAAATGGAAAAATCAGCAGAAACCTTTTTTTACATTATAAGTTAGATAAGGTATCTAGTATGTTATAAGAATGAAGAGATATGATTTAAATCTGCTAGAGTTATTTTTCTTTTATCAATTTGCAGTCAAATAATGATACTAATAAGTTTAGTGGAATCTACATGTTTAATAGAGATATTTTGACACAATTGTATGTGTTATGTTTTGTTGTTAGATGTTCTACAAATATTGAATGAATATGTGATCATTGTTACATATTATTTGTGACAAATGGAATGTTTGTGTAAAAAAAAAGAATGAAAATGTCATTGTATGTTTGTTAATGGTATGAAACAATAAGTTTATAACATATTTGTACATAGTCAGTAATTTATAATCATATTATTACTAGTATTTTTGTAGAAAAGTATTAAAAATATATTTAAAACAAATTGATGTGTTGGTGTTCATGTAACAGAGGACAAGTTTATAATATGAGATGATTTTTGTTACCTATTTTTTTATTGTTAGTGGTTTAGCAAAGAAGAGATATGGGAATGCAATATGACAGATGTCACATGTGTAGCTGGATCTGCCCTCCCCTCCTGGAAAACCTGAGATCATCCCCCGGTTTTGGGGGGTTTGTGTTGCTCAGTCTTTAGTTTTCTATGCTGTGTTATGAATACTGTTGTTTGTCTTTTGGTTGTTTTTTGTTTGTTTTATGCCATCACTTTGTCAGTTAGTCCATGACTGATTAGTTTTAATGTCCCTTTGGTTCATTCAGCCTCTTTTTGGCATTTCAAAATTCAGCAATGATAAATTATTTTTTGAGAAAAGATTGCATAATATGCAGTCCAATCCCTGTAACCACTGGCTGGTTGGTATTATTTCAGACATTTTCTCTAACCTTGCTTTGTGAGTACTTTTAAGAAATTGCAGTGAGGTGAACATTCTTTAGATCCTTTCCTTGGCCATATCAAGCAATTTATTAATAACATATTATCAGATATTCAAGTATATACATATTACTATATTTTTCAAGATTACCATTTTATTAAAGGTTATGCAAGTTACTGAAGAAGTGCATGATGAATGAATCTATCTGTTTTTACCTACAATTATGGACAAAGGAAAACGATTATATTCAAAATATTGCCCAAATATGTTTCTTTACTTAATACAATTTACTGTTTAGTGTTAAGTATTTTATAATATAAAGCAATCTTAATCTCCTTAAAGCTCAGAAGCACTTTGAATTTTAGGAGTTATGCCTCTTGGAATCTGAAATGTGAAAAAATATCTCATCAGAGTTGATTGAAATTTATGTCAAATCAGCAATATCTTGGACAACTTTGAAAATAAGATCAGATAGACTATTTTTATGTAACCTTGGAAATGTAAATATAATATTGAAAATCAAAATTGTTTGGATTCATGGCAGGGTTAACTTCTGTAATATTGCATTAGAGTTCAATGAAATTCGTGTCAGTAATATCTTATAAAAGTTTAATGCAATTCATGATGAGGTTAACTTCAGTAATATCTTATAAAAGTTTAATGCAATTCATGTTAAGGTTAACTTTAGCAATACAAATGTATCTTATAAAAGTTTAATGCAATTCATGTTAAGGTTAACTTTAGCAATATCTTATAAAAGTTTAATGCAATTCATGTTAAGGTTAACTTTAGCAATATCTTATAAAAGTTTAATGCAATTCATGTTAAGGTTAACTTCCGTAATATCTTATAAAAGTTTAATGCAATTTATGTTGAGGTTAACTTCAGTAATATCTTATAAAAGTTTAATGCAATTTATGTTAAGGTTAATTTCAGTAATATCTTATAAAAATTTTAATGCAATTCATGTTAAGGTTAACTTCAGTAATATCTTATAAAAGTTTAATGCAATTCATGTTAAGGTTAACTTTAGCAATACAAATGTATCTTATAAAAGTTTAATGCAATTCATGTTAAGGTTAACTTTAGCAATATCTTATAAAAGTTTAATGCAATTCATGTTAAGGTTAACTTTAGCAATATCTTATAAAAGTTTAATGCAATTCATGTTAAGGTTAACTTCCGTAATATCTTATAAAAGTTTAATGCAATTTATGTTGAGGTTAACTTCAGTAATATCTTATAAAAGTTTAATGCAATTTATGTTAAGGTTAATTTCAGTAATATCTTATAAAAATTTTAATGCAATTCATGTTAAGGTTAACTTCAGTAATATCTTATAAAAGTTTAATGCAGTTTATCTTGAGGTTAACTTCAAGTAATGTCTTATAAAAGTTTAATGCAATTCATGTTAAGGTTAACTTCAGTTATATCTTCTAAAATAATAATAATAATCCGTTTCAATTGTCAGCAGGTGGAACAGTATAAGGTCGATTTTCTAAGTTCTGTTTGATCTTATTTTATAGATAAAAACATAAAAAAATTAAATGTAAAATCTTTACTAATAAACCTGTATAAGACTGATTTTGTGCGTCGAATCATCTTCCTGCTGCTGCCTTACTTGTTTCACTTCCTAACTGACATCCGTTTCAATTGTAACAGGAGACAGTTCTACCTTTTTATTTTTCTCTGCTTAAAATGTCGTTTTAAATTATCCTTGTAATTTTTATACGACCCGCAAAAAAATGCGGTCGTATATTGGTATGACGTTGGCGTCATCGTCATCCGAAGACACATTGGTTTTTGCACTCTAACTTTAGTTTAAGTGAATGGATCTCTATGAAATTTTACCATAAGGTTCAATACAACAAAAGGAAGGTTGGGATTGATTTTGGGTGTAATGGTACCAACAGTTAAGGAATTAGGGGCCAAAAATAAGCATTTTTGTAACTTCCAGACATAACTTGTGTGTTAGTGTATTGATCTTTCTGATATTGTACTACAAGGTTCCATATCACAAAGGGAAAGCTGGAATTGAGTTTGGGGGTAATTGCCTCAAAATTTTAGGAATTAGGGGCCAAAAAGGGGCAAAAAACAATCATTTTTCTAGTTTCAGGACAATAACTTGTGTGTAAGTGTATGGATCTTTATGAAATTGTACTACAAGGTCCAAATCACAAAGGGAAAGCTGGGTTTGAGTTTGGGGGTAATTGCCCTAAATGTTTAGGAATTTGGGGCCAAAAGGGGTCCTAAAAACAAGCATTTTTCTAGTTTCCAGACAATAACTTGTGTTCAAGTGTATGGATCTCTCTGAAATTGTACTGCAAGGTACCATACCACAAAGGGAAGGCTGGGGTTGAGTTTGGAGGTGATGAATCATAAGGGGGTTCAAAAAATTTTGGGGAGGGATTTTTTTTTCCTTTTTTTCCTTTTTTTTCTTTAAAATTTTCCATTTTAAATTGGTTATTTCTGATTTATATATAAAAGCAAATAATAATGATATGGTTTGAATAGATAAATTAAAATTTTTTAAGTTCTTAGACCACATTCATTCTGTGTCAGAAACCTATGCTGTGTCAAATATTTAATCACAATCCAAATTCAGTGCTGTATCAAGCTTGAATGTTGTGTCCATACTTGCCCCAACTGTTCAGGGTTCGACCTCTGCGGTCGTATCAAGCTGCGCCCAGTGGAGCATTTTATTATAAACCTCAGTATTTGTGTGGTTTACTATTGTTGTTTGTATTGTGTTTTAGATAAATCATTTCCTTAACAACACAATAGGTACACAACAGGATTCTGGTATATGATAAAGTGGGGATGGATCCAGTATGTCTCAGTTCTACTCATATTCCTCTTCCTCTTTGATAGAGTCAAAGTGTTTATCTATCAAAACCAGCTTGTACAAACTATTGTTGAAACTCCTTTCCGTAAAGAGAAAATGCAGTGATGAATGTTTTGATTGGATTTAAAGACAATTTCAAGAATCTAAAACATTCAATCTGTTTACAATTTGTGCAACACCTTTCAGCTAGAAAATACAGAATTGAATGTTGTGCTTAGCTTTTACATCAATATCTAATGATGAGTGACTATTGAAATGAAAAAGTGAGGATACAGAATATATATTAAATATTTGGACTGTTGGAATGTAATAGAGGTTCATTCATTACAATGAATGTATTGGAAATTAGGGGTTGAAAAAACTGATGTCCCAGTATTACGGATTTTGAATGGGGCCTTTTGGAAATAAAGCCGAAAAGTCATATGTCAGCAAAAAATGTAGCTTTCAAGAAGCTACTTATCCTTGCAAAATTTTTTATTGACTTCTAACATTTTTCATAATGAATAAAAATAGACCTGAGTAAAACTCTTCCTCTAAATTTAATTTAAAAAATTAATAGATGGAAATTAAGATGCACAAACTGTAAATGGGAATATTCAATAAGCATGAATAATATAGGATGGGTTATGTATATGTTGGTCAGAAGATACAGACTGTTACAATTTCTATGATGTAGTCATTGTGTACATCTGGTTTTAATCATGAAATCACTGATAGAATCAAAATTATGAGATTTTAAGGAATATTGAAAATTAATAGTGATTTTTAAATGCAAAAGTGATATTTTTATGTTCCAGTTTATTAGTGTCTGAATGATAATTGGTGTTTGCTGAAACTTTCCTTATGCATAGGCTGGAGTACCATTGATGATATAGGTAATTTTCAATTTAAACATCAACTACTGTTTGGGAATTATGCTTATGAAAATGGAAAAATCAGCAGAAACCTTTTTTTACATTATAAGTTAGATAAGGTATCTAGTATGTTATAAGAATGAAGAGATATGATTTAAATCTGCTAGAGTTATTTTTCTTTTATCAATTTGCAGTCAAATAATGATACTAATAAGTTTAGTGGAATCTACATGTTTAATAGAGATATTTTGACACAATTGTATGTGTTATGTTTTGTTGTTAGATGTTCTACAAATATTGAATGAATATGTGATCATTGTTACATATTATTTGTGACAAATGGAATGTTTGTGTAAAAAAAAAGAATGAAAATGTCATTGTATGTTTGTTAATGGTATGAAACAATAAGTTTATAACATATTTGTACATAGTCAGTAATTTATAATCATATTATTACTAGTATTTTTGTAGAAAAGTATTAAAAATATATTTAAAACAAATTGATGTGTTGGTGTTCATGTAACAGAGGACAAGTTTATAATATGAGATGATTTTTGTTACCTATTTTTTTATTGTTAGTGGTTTAGCAAAGAAGAGATATGGGAATGCAATATGACAGATGTCACATGTGTAGCTGGATCTGCCCTCCCCTCCTGGAAAACCTGAGATCATCCCCCGGTTTTGGGGGGTTTGTGTTGCTCAGTCTTTAGTTTTCTATGCTGTGTTATGAATACTGTTGTTTGTCTTTTGGTTGTTTTTTGTTTGTTTTATGCCATCACTTTGTCAGTTAGTCCATGACTGATTAGTTTTAATGTCCCTTTGGTTCATTCAGCCTCTTTTTGGCATTTCAAAATTCAGCAATGATAAATTATTTTTTGAGAAAAGATTGCATAATATGCAGTCCAATCCCTGTAACCACTGGCTGGTTGGTATTATTTCAGACATTTTCTCTAACCTTGCTTTGTGAGTACTTTTAAGAAATTGCAGTGAGGTGAACATTCTTTAGATCCTTTCCTTGGCCATATCAAGCAATTTATTAATAACATATTATCAGATATTCAAGTATATACATATTACTATATTTTTCAAGATTACCATTTTATTAAAGGTTATGCAAGTTACTGAAGAAGTGCATGATGAATGAATCTATCTGTTTTTACCTACAATTATGGACAAAGGAAAACGATTATATTCAAAATATTGCCCAAATATGTTTCTTTACTTAATACAATTTACTGTTTAGTGTTAAGTATTTTATAATATAAAGCAATCTTAATCTCCTTAAAGCTCAGAAGCACTTTGAATTTTAGGAGTTATGCCTCTTGGAATCTGAAATGTGAAAAAATATCTCATCAGAGTTGATTGAAATTTATGTCAAATCAGCAATATCTTGGACAACTTTGAAAATAAGATCAGATAGACTATTTTTATGTAACCTTGGAAATGTAAATATAATATTGAAAATCAAAATTGTTTGGATTCATGGCAGGGTTAACTTCTGTAATATTGCATTAGAGTTCAATGAAATTCGTGTCAGTAATATCTTATAAAAGTTTAATGCAATTCATGATGAGGTTAACTTCAGTAATATCTTATAAAAGTTTAATGCAATTCATGTTAAGGTTAACTTTAGCAATACAAATGTATCTTATAAAAGTTTAATGCAATTCATGTTAAGGTTAACTTTAGCAATATCTTATAAAAGTTTAATGCAATTCATGTTAAGGTTAACTTTAGCAATATCTTATAAAAGTTTAATGCAATTCATGTTAAGGTTAACTTCCGTAATATCTTATAAAAGTTTAATGCAATTTATGTTGAGGTTAACTTCAGTAATATCTTATAAAAGTTTAATGCAATTTATGTTAAGGTTAATTTCAGTAATATCTTATAAAAATTTTAATGCAATTCATGTTAAGGTTAACTTCAGTAATATCTTATAAAAGTTTAATGCAATTCATGTTAAGGTTAACTTTAGCAATACAAATGTATCTTATAAAAGTTTAATGCAATTCATGTTAAGGTTAACTTTAGCAATATCTTATAAAAGTTTAATGCAATTCATGTTAAGGTTAACTTTAGCAATATCTTATAAAAGTTTAATGCAATTCATGTTAAGGTTAACTTCCGTAATATCTTATAAAAGTTTAATGCAATTTATGTTGAGGTTAACTTCAGTAATATCTTATAAAAGTTTAATGCAATTTATGTTAAGGTTAATTTCAGTAATATCTTATAAAAATTTTAATGCAATTCATGTTAAGGTTAACTTCAGTAATATCTTATAAAAGTTTAATGCAGTTTATCTTGAGGTTAACTTCAAGTAATGTCTTATAAAAGTTTAATGCAATTCATGTTAAGGTTAACTTCAGTTATATCTTCTAAAATAATAATAATAATCCGTTTCAATTGTCAGCAGGTGGAACAGTATAAGGTCGATTTTCTAAGTTCTGTTTGATCTTATTTTATAGATAAAAACATAAAAAAATTAAATGTAAAATCTTTACTAATAAACCTGTATAAGACTGATTTTGTGCGTCGAATCATCTTCCTGCTGCTGCCTTACTTGTTTCACTTCCTAACTGACATCCGTTTCAATTGTAACAGGAGACAGTTCTACCTTTTTATTTTTCTCTGCTTAAAATGTCGTTTTAAATTATCCTTGTAATTTTTATACGACCCGCAAAAAAATGCGGTCGTATATTGGTATGACGTTGGCGTCATCGTCATCCGAAGACACATTGGTTTTTGCACTCTAACTTTAGTTTAAGTGAATGGATCTCTATGAAATTTTACCATAAGGTTCAATACAACAAAAGGAAGGTTGGGATTGATTTTGGGTGTAATGGTACCAACAGTTAAGGAATTAGGGGCCAAAAATAAGCATTTTTGTAACTTCCAGACATAACTTGTGTGTTAGTGTATTGATCTTTCTGATATTGTACTACAAGGTTCCATATCACAAAGGGAAAGCTGGAATTGAGTTTGGGGGTAATTGCCTCAAAATTTTAGGAATTTGGGGCCAAAAAGGGGCAAAAAACAAGCATTTTTGTTGAGCCTTCGACTTTAGTTGAAAAAGCGAGACATAGCGATCCTACATTCCGTCGGCAGCGTCCACAAATATTCACTCTGTGGTTAAAAGTTTTTGAAATTTTAATAACTTTCTTAAACTATCTTAGATTTCTACCAAACTTGGATAGAAGCTTGTTTATGATCATAAGATAGTATCCAGAAGTAAATTTTGTAAAAATAAAATTCCATTTTTTCCGTATTTTACTTATAAATGGACTTAGTTTTTCTGCCGGGAAATATTACATTCACTCTGTGGTTAAAGTTTTTAAAATTTTAATAACTTTCTTAAACTATCCTGGGTTTTTACCAAACTTGGACAGAAGCTTGTTTATGATCATAAGATAGTATCTAGAAGGAAATTTGTAAAATAATAAATCCATTTTTTCCGTATTTTACTTTTAAATGGACTTAGATTTTCTGCCAGGAAACAACACATTCACTCTGTGGTTAAAGTTTTTAAAATTTTAATAACTTTCTTATACTATTTTGGATTTGTACCAAACTTGGACAGAAGCTTGTTTATGATCAAAAGCTAGTATCTAGAAGGAAATTTTGTAAAATAATAAATCCATTTTTTCAGTATTTTACTTTTAAATGGACTTAGATTTTCTGTCAGGAAACAACACATTCACTCTGTGGTTAAAGTTTTTAAAATTTTAATAACTTTCTTATACTATTTTGGATTTGTACCAAACTTTAACAGAAGCTTGTTTATGATCAAATGCTAGTATCTTGAAGGAAATTTTGGTTTTCTTCCAGTTAACATTACATCCAGTCTGCAGTTAAAGTTTTTAAACATTTATTAGATTCATAAACTATCCTGGATTTTTACCAAACTTGGACAGAAGCTTCTTACAATCAAAAGATAGTATCAAGAGGAATATTTTTATTGATTTACTTCCTCATTTTTGTTGAGCCTGCGATTAACAGAAAAAGTAGGCGAGACACTGGGTTCCGCGGAACCCTTACGAATTTTTCTAGTTTCAGGACAATAACTTGTGTGTAAGTGTATGGATCTTTATGAAATTGTCCTACAAGGTTCCATATCACAAAGGGAAAGCTGGGGTTGAGTTTGGGGGTAATTGCCCTAAAACGTTTAGGAATAAGGGGCCAAAAATAAGCATTTTTTTCTAGTTTCCAGACAATAACTTGTGTTCAAGTGTATGGATCTCTCTGTAATTGTACTGCAAGGTACCATACCACAAAGGGAAGGTGGGGATTGAGTTTGGGGTGATGAATCATAAGGGGGTTCAAAAAATTTGGGGGAGAGTTTTTTTTTTTCTTTAAAATTTTCCATTTTAAATTGGTTATTTCTGATTTATATATAAAAGTAAATAATAATGATATGGTTTGAATAGGTTAATTAAAAAAATTTAAGTTCTTAGACCACATTCATTCTGTGTCAGAAACCTATGCTGTGTCAAATATTTAATCACAATCCAAATTCAGTGCTGTATCAAGCTTGAATGTTGTGTCCATACTTGCCCCAACTGTTCATGGTTCGACCTCTGCGGTTGTATCAAGCTGCGCCCAGCGGAGCATTTTATTATTTGGTAAAATACTCCAAAGTCAGTATTGTTAGCTCAGTGTCCAAATCTCTAAAGCTACATGTATTCTGATGAGCTTCTTTTTTATTGTGCGTGAAAATCTACTCCAACAATATCAAAATCAAATCAAAATCAAATCAAATATTTATTATTCGAATCATGGTCCCACAGGGGGCATTTACAATTAACAATTATGATAGTATAAGCAACAAACATGAGACATTGTACAGTATATAACGTGACGGATATTATAATAGACAATGAAAATAGCATTAATAACAAAAATACATTAAAAGTACTCTTGAGTATTTTTTTTTTTTCCTTCCTTCCTTATGTCCAGCAGTGTTAAAAAAAAAAAGAAAAAAAAAAGGTATTAATAATAAAGTTTGAACAAACTTAAATTATTATCTATAAAGATGGAAATTTGTTCATCTGCAGGAGACACCAAGGGACGGTGCTCTAGGATATACTGTTGATTGCAATAGGCAATAACAGCAATCCTCCCTGTGTCAGAAGCAGATGAACAAAATAAATAGAGAAACTGAATCCGGTCAATTAACAAATAATTATTATTTTTTTTTTTTAAATAACAACAATTGCTAATTATGCGAAACATGTCATATAAATCTGCTATTTGCAGTGTTTAACCAGGAATATACACAACTCTTTTAATACAGTTAAGTTCTCACAAGACAACAGCCATAGCAATTTCTCTTGGGAATTTAAGTTAATGAAATTGTGACATGATTCCGAAATAATGTGATATAAATGGTGTCTGTCTTCGTTATATTTTGTGCAATAAAAGAGAAAATGAACTTCATCTTCAATATGACCAGAGTTACACTGCTGACATAGTCTAAGGTGTGGAGGAGTACCCTGGT